CTGTATGTGTTGTGTGTGTGTGCGCGAGCGCGCGCGCAACCCCCGCTCCCCTCCACTTACTCTCGTGCATCTCCTCCCCGGTGAGCGCGCCCAGGAGGGCCCCCCACCCCCCACCCCAAGAGGAACGCCGAGCCGCAGCCGCCGAGGAAACGTGAAGTTTGTGCGGCTCAACATGACGCAAAAATTCTTGAAGAGCTCTTTGGCGGCGGCTATCTAGAGATCAGACCATGTGAGGGGCCGGGAGTACAAATACGGCGGCTCGGGCGCAGCGCCGGCACAGGCAGCGGCCGCCCCGGGTGCCTCGAGGGCGCGAGGGTCCCCCGCGTCGGCGAGCCCTGGGACCAGCCTCCCCGCGGACTGCCGGCAGGTGGGTCCGCTTTCCTTCTTGCTTCTAACCCACACTTCTTTCCAGAACTTCATGCGTCTCCGGCGTGCCCGGCACCTGGCGAGGGCGTGCGTGCGCCTGGGCGGTGGGCTCCTGGCGGCGCGGGGCCGGAGTCCGGCCGCAGGGAGAGGGGACCGTGGCGTGGACGAGAGGACGGACTCCGGAGGGCTCCTTTGTCTGCACCCGTGTGCTTCGTGGTGTCCCGAGTCCCAGTGCAAGACCCTTTACAGATGGTCTTAAGCACAGTGCCATCCTGCGCTCAGGGAAAAGTTGCCGTAGTTTCCCCCCATCGCTCACGTCTGATCTTGACTCACTGCCCTCGCGTGCAGGGGGCTGCGTGCGGAGGCGTTTCTGCGGGGAGAGAGCTGGTTGACACAAATGCCTAACTACCTAGAGAAATCTCTGAATGACACTTAAGGGGGACGAGGCTCCGTGCGCTTGGGTTGTTTTCACTGGCAGAGCTGCTGCGCGCTCAGACATCTCACAGGCCATTCAGAATTTATGTGAAATGCAAACCCCAGCCAGCTCCTTCGGCCCGCGCCAGTGCGAGACCATCAGGAGCTTGAGCGATGCATACGTTCAGATTTGGTTTTGAAACATCCCTTGGGAGCTAAAGAGCACATTTCCTTTTGCACAGGGTGTTTTGCCTCATGAATTCCTTTTTCAGTGGGGGTTCTACAGAATTTGAGAAGGGTAGAATTTCTGAGTCAGACATAACAAAGGCTTGTGTGTATGTATTTTCATGACCAATTTTGCCCAGAAAAAAAAAAATGAACCAGGTCATTGGATTATTTATGAGCCTGCTAGCCCTCACCATAGTAAGACGAGATCAAATATTTAATGCGTTTTGTTTTTAGTTACCTAGGAAAATATCTAAGAAAGCAACATTGGGATGTGAGTTTTATCCCACAGAGGGTCACTGTGGGCGTTATTCGTATTTGGGTTCCCGAGAGTAAAGGGAAACACTCAGCTTTGACTCTTTCTCCCACCGCTTTCTTTTGTGTGTAGCCACTGATGCCCAAAGGTTCAAGACAGGGGCTGGGGGTGTGGGGGTGTGGGGGTGTGGGGGTGTGGGGGTGGGGAGGTGTCCGCTTCCAGCATAGGTGAGAGACAGGCTCTTAGAGGGCTTGTGCAAATTAAACAAGCCTTTTAGGGCATGGGTTTTTCTGTTGTTTTTACTGAACCGGAGTAAGAGCAGATTGAGACTGTTTCACAATGAATCAAAAGCCCCCACGACACTCTGAGGATCCATGGAGGACATTACAGAGATGTGATGCCCGCACAGGTACTCAAACCCGTCTCTCAGTCTCCTTGCTTAAGAAATACTTGTACAAGTGGTGGGGTGGGAGTGGGGATGGAATCTTTTGAAGTTTTAATGCAATCAACAAAAACCTCAGAAATTCCTCTTTGGGGGATTTCGAGCTGCCGCAGCATTTTGATGGAAGTCGGAGAGGCATGTCGAAGAGTTTCACCGATGGGCGAGATGACAGTGCAATGGGGTGCTTGTGTGTGTGTGTGTGGGGTGGTGTTTCTTACAGCAGGCTTGCAAAACACCATGGATGACCCTCCAAAGCAGCGGTTCTCAACCTGTGAGTCCCGACCCCTTTGGCGGTCGAACGACCCTTTCACAGGGGTCGCCGAAGACCATCCTGCATATCAGATATTTACATGACGATTCATAACAGTAGCAACATTACAGTTATGAAGTAGCAACGAAAATAATTTTATGGTTGGGTCACAACATGAGGAACTGTATTTAAAGGGCCAGAAGGTTGAGAACCACTGCTCCAAAGAGAAACACGGGCAATCCCAGAAATTAAGCCAGGAAGTGGCAGTTCCGTCTTTATACTCATTGAATGGCATGACTTGAGAGAACAAAGGCAGGGCTGCCTGAAGAAGCGTAATTTTAACGAATCAACAGTTTATTAAGTTTACGCTTCATGAATCAACAAGATATAGTCATGACTTGACTTTTTTTTTTAACCAAGATGCCTGGATGGCCAAAGGGAAATGCAGTCATTTGTCTGTCACTTTCAGAAAGTACCTTGAACCGTTGTTATTCCGGGCCAGAGATCAGCCCCTCTGGGTCTCTCCGGCCTTAGCGCTAAGTGAGGGCAGGAGGGGGTCCTGCATAACGTGATGGCTAAGTCCCCTCCACTCATGCTGTGGCTGAGACCCTGACCTTTCTGCTTTAAGCAGACACAAGTTGAAATGATGCGGCAAAATGCCCGAGGGCAGGACTCTGCCCAGATGTCACCATCAAATCAGGGTCCTCTGGGGCCTCCTCGCTTTCACTCTAAGACGGAGGCTTTGCACACTCTTACACACACAGGTCAGGTTCTGCACCTCCAACATGTCCGATCAGCGGGCCCGAGCTCCCTGACTTCCTGACTCCCCTGTGCAAGAGGCCCAGGATGTGGTGTAGTAGAAACAGCCTCCGGGCAAAGCTGATTTGGGCTGAGTGGTCTTCTTCCCAGTCACTGAGGTTTGTGCACAGAACAGGCTGGGGTGTGGAGTGAAAAATGCCCCGTTTCTTCATCCCTGGGGCAAAGGATGCTGACTGATCTGCTCCTGTGGGTCCAGGTGCTGCCAGCCCGACCCTGGACAAGGGTACTTGCCAGTTTCTGGGGTTAACTGGACAAAATAACACCGTAAGGAAAGCAAGTCGTTATCTGTTCAGGTGGAAGCAGATGGGACTAACCTTTAAAAGGAATGATTTTCCCTGGGCGGAGGGGTGAGCTGCTGTTCTAGGCAGGCCCAAGACCCAGGATCGGCGGACACAGACCCCTGATTTCTAGGCAGAGCTCATCCTTCTGACTTGAGTCCACATTCAGAAATGACCTCTGAGTCACGTCCCTGGGAAGGGGGCGTCCCTCCAGCCTGCCCTTTGTCAGCTTCCACTGACCGGGAAGATGAATGCTCATTTACTGAAGGTCAACAACATGCTTTTAAACCAAGTGTTTTCCCAGCCCTGGGTCTGTTGGGGTGACAAAACGAGTAGAGATAAAGCAGGTCTGACTGCCTTATTTTCTTTCCTTTGGCTCCCCTGGAACCTGGCAACAGCTCTCTCGCTGCCACCCCAACCCTGGACCAAGGAGACTTGTTAGTGGGTATTTAAACCATGTGCTTTTAAAAAGCCACAACCAGTTACCCCCCCCCCCCCCCATGAACCCCAGAAACCTCTGGACTGCAGAGCAAGAGATGAACCCGGTCACTGGAGACATGCAGGTGCCATCCCAGGGCCAGCTCAGTGACCAGGGTCCCCAGGCACTGACAGGTGGCAGATGGCATGGGGAAGGTCTCCTGAGGCCCAGTGCTTCATGTCATCATGTGACGTAGGGAGAGAAGAGGTGAGAACGGGGTTGGGACAGGACCAAGTGGCAAATCCCAGAGAGCCAATTGCTGCTCTGGAAGTATCCAGGGCGGCCGGGGGAGGGGGGGGGGGCGCGGGGGGCGGGGGGTGGTGGCTGGTGGTGGGCTCGGTGGGAGGGAGCAAAGCGGTGGCCTTTGCCCCCTTGCGTTTTTGTGTGGCCTTTCTGGGTAGTCGAGAAAAAAAAGACCGGTCTGCTTCCTTTGATACTGAGCTGCTGAATGAAAATAGAATACACGGGATCTTTGGCTCCAAGAGGCTTCCTTGAGTTAGGGAGGGGCAGAGCTGGCAGGGCCTGGGAGGGGATCTGCTCAAGCTCCGCCAGGCCTGGAACCTGAGGCTCCTGCACTCTGCTCCTTTCTCTCCCTGGGGTGTGTTGTTTTTAAATGCTAATCTAGTCAGCTGGCTCTTCCCCTGGTCTCAGAGGAAAGGAGCCGGGCGAGGAGGAGGGGAGGAAGGCGGAGGGAAGGGGCCGGGGAGAGAGGAGGTAGGCTATTCTGGGTGCACCATGGGCAGCAGGGAGGTTTCCAGCTCCTCTGAGGGCTAGAATTAGTTTTCTCCCCCCAATTTTTAATTTTGAAAAATTGCAACTGAAAAGGCAGAAAAATGGTCTGGTGAACCCAGACTCACGAGTTGTTCGCATTTTGTCACATTTGTGTGTGTACTGTAATTTTACACATGTACCCAACTCTTGCATATGTAATGTATAGAGATTTTGATACGTTGCATAGAGTATAAGACACAATATAATAATTATACAATTTACATATGTCTATAATTTTTGCATTGAACTTTTGAAAATTTGCAGACATCCAAATATTGGCCACTGAATACGTCAGCCCATGTTTCCTAAGAACAAGGGCATTCTCCTACATCACAGCCCCATTGTTATCACATTTGGGAAACTTAACGTTGATAAAACATCACTATCAAATATACAGCCCATATTCAAGCCCCCCCCCCCCCCCCACACACACACACTCTTTCAATGAGGTCCTTTTTAGCTTCGAGGGTGACTTTTTGAGGCTGGAATCTCCGAGAAATTGGGAACCCTTGTTGTAATGTACCCCGCGAATCACAGAAGGACGCCTCAAGAAGTCGAATTAAAGAGTCACATTTAATGCAATCCGGGACTATGAGGGGCCATTCCCCAAATCTCATAGTAACAAGATGGTCGAAAAACCAGGTTTATATAGGCAAAAATCACAGCGGTATTGATTACATCCCAGGGTTTGGAATGAGGGACCTGGTTCGCAAAAAAGCAGTTTACAGAAGCAGAATTAAGCATGTTAATTACAGTTTTGGGTCTCCGGATCACTGAGTTGATAGAAACACATTATCTGGGACCGCTGGGTTGACAGGAACACATTATCTAGAGCCCTCGGGTCTAGAGACCACTGAGTTGTCAGGAATTCATTATCTAGAGCCATCGAGGCAATTTAGAGTAATTGCGCTGTCCTGGTCTTGGGACCACTGAGTCAACTGGAACTCATTATCTGTGGCCACTAAGACAATTTAGAATCATTGTGCTGTCCTGTTTCCCAGGTACAGAAGAATGTGCTTTCTAAAACCAGTAAGATAACAATCAATGGGATAGTCATTCAATCGAATG